CCCAGGGGGATCTGCACACCCTCCTCACCTCCTTCCTGGTGCCCATCCAAGGGCAACTCGCGACCCTCGCGCCCATGCAGGCGCAACTCACGACCCCTGCGCCCTTACAGGCACAGGTGGCAACCCTTGCCGCCAGCGTGCGGCAACTCCAGGACGCTGGTCGTCCTTCCTCTCCTCACCCTATCTCTTCTCCTGGCTCCCAGTCCGGGTCCCCCGCCTTTCGACAGGGTGGCCACGATGGAGCTTCCTCCTCCGCTGCCCCCGACCTGGCCATCTTGGTGACCGTCCACGCACCTAGCACGACGACCGCCACGAGTCAGGCCCTCCCTCAGTCCACGGGCGCACCCGCCCAGATTCCGGTCACGACGGCCACGGGACCACAACCCGCTACCATGGTTTCAGCTTTTCCGGGTGCCCCACTTCTCCCCCCTCTTCGCACGACCGCAGCGCCATCTGGCTCTCCCCCTTGTGGGATGCCTCGCGCTGCTCGTGCGTCTCCCTCTGCCACACCTCGCTCGACCTACGTTCGAGGTCTCGAGGACGAAGTCGCCCGGCTCCGGACCGACCTCGCCCTCTCACGCCTTCAGCCACCCCCACCCTCACAGGTGGCCGCGCCTTCCGGCGCACCCCCTTCTTCCTCTATTCTTCCTTCCATGCAGGCTCGCTTCCCTCGCCCTGCACCCTACCAATCTCCATCCTACCTCATCCCCATCCCCTCGGTTGCTGCGACCTCTTCTACCGCAGCTCCCGTGCAGCCTGCCGCTGCTTCCCCCGCCGCTCCACCATGCGGCCCAGGCGTACAATCAGCTGCGCCTCCTCCTCCAGGACCTACGCCGACTTATTCCGCCGTAGCGCAGTCCCCTGCTTCCCGTTCCCCTCGCCGCCAAAACGGTGGCGCACCACTCATCTGCTTGTCGGACAGTCCCTTGTATGATGATACAGGCATACGCGTGTCTAGGTGGCTGCAGGCTGCCACCCGCACGCTCCAGCTCATGGGCGCCACACCCGACACGTGGGTGGGTCACCTCTCCACGCGCCTGCGTGGTGCTCCTTTCGACGCCTGGGAGGATTTCTATGCTTACTCTCTGCGTGCGGGTCGAACTCCGACCTTCATGGATTTCCAGGCGTTCCTCGAGGATCGCTTCGGAACCCGATATGACGTGACTGACGCCTTCGAGCGTGTCGTCACTACACGCTGGTCCGGCTCGGGTGGCGCTGCCGGCCTGGATCGCCACATCCAGGTCTTTCAGGACGCCCGCCTCGCTTGTGACGTGGCGTTCCTTCCCGAGGCTGCCCTTATCGATCGTTTCTTGGCCAGCCTCCCGCTCGCGTACCGCTCCGAGCTATGGCGGTACGAGTTCACATCGGCCCCGCAGGCTTACGAGGCCGCCAGGAACCATGAGCGGATGCGAGCCCGTCTTCACCCCGCCTCCTCCTCCCAGCCTCAGCGCACAGGTTACGCCTCCTCCTCCTCTCACGGCACTTCCCAGCTCCGTTCCCCTTTCCGCGGTCGCCCCCGCCGTTCCGCGCAGCAGGGCCGCCACTTCTCGCACCGCTTCAGCGTGCTCGAGTATGGTGAGCAGGACGCTGGTGCCCCGCAGTCGCCAGAGGGTGATCATAGCGATGATCTCGACCTCGGCGATGCCGTCCAGCACCACCTGGAGGACCCTACTCTCCCTATGTTTGAGCGCCTCCAGCTCATCCTTTCCACCCTTTCCCGGGCACGCAGCCGCCCTGGTCACGCTGGCGCGTCGCCCCCCGAGGTCCCTCAGCAGGACCTCCCTCAGGGCTTTGTTCCTCCTCGCGGTGTCCTTTCCGCTGAGGAGCGAGAAGCTATTATGGGCCGACGTGGGTGTTTGCGCTGCCGCTTGGACGGTCATACCTCCTCGCGGTGCCCTTACACTACTGCCCTCGACCGCCACTACGCTGACCTTTCCCGCCAGCGTCGTGCTCAGTCCCCCCCCGGCGCCTCGCACTCCCGCGGCGCCTCCTAGCCACGGTGCAGTGTACACCTGCGCCCTCCTCAGTAGTGGGCTTCCCGACATCTCCATCGCGGTTTGCCCCTCTCGCTACTGGAGCTGAGGTATCGCAGGACTCGACAAAGTGTACTCAGCCCTCTGTCGCAGTACCGTCTGCGCCTCCGCAGACCACCGTCTCCCCTCCTTCCCCGCCGCGCCTACCGACGCGTCGAGCCATTCGCTCAGCCCGTTGCAGCGAGCAGCTCGCTACTCGCGAGGACGTCGTGTCCTCTCTTCTGGACTTGAGCATGCTCCAGGCTCGTCAGGAGCGACTCACCCTCCATGTCGCTGCACTGCGTCGCCTTTTCGCCATCCTCTCTGACCCTGATCGCACCCTCCCGATCATCCCAGTACGACTCGGGACCTCTACGAGGGTGTACTCAGCGTTGTGGGATTCTGGTTCTCAGGGCGACTTCATTCACCCACGCGTGGTGAAAGAAGCCCGCTTACCCACGACAGGGTCTCCGACTCCCATCTCCGTTACCCTAGGGGATGACAAAACCCAACGCTTCTTCGATCAGACGGTCACCGACCTCCCTTTCTTCCTCACTCTCGAGCCGACTGATAGTCCCCCGGCGTCTCGTCGCCACCGCTCCTCTGCACATTTCGATGCGATGGAGACGGGGTACGACTTCATTCTCGGCACTCCGTGGTCTCGTCGGT